GCTACTTTTCTTTCTCAGAGCATTCTGGAAAGGCAGTGATACATGTTAATACAGAGCAGTTACGGTACTGTAAATTATCYAGAATTTTGCTGCAAATAGCAGAGGTGTTAAGATTATTTCATTTAAAGAAAATAAAGAAAAAAAAAGAAACTTCAAACATAGCATTTGCTAATATTGAGYTTTTTTAGGACGCAGGTATTCACTACCAAGAGCTCTGGAAACACTGCCATTATTGTGCATGAAATTAAATATTTTCYAAGTTATGCATGTCATATTATCAAAAAAGTAAGCAACTATTTCTGCAAGTAGAAATACAAGATTGACTCGACTACAGTAGGTCAAAGCTTAAAGAAGTATTATCAACCTGAAATCAGATTATCTTAATGAAATTAAAAGTYGCATCATATTTATTCTGCATATCTTCACTGGTTTTTGTTTTAAAATCACTAATCCTTAAAAAAGATCAACTAACCAAACAAAAATCCCCAGCTCTTCTCTAAATGAATCACAACAAATGAAAAGTAGTAAATGATAGCAATGAGAGAGAAGTAAACAGAGAGTTCTGTCAAAAATAYAAAAATATATTCCTTCACAATTTCTTTCTTATAAGGCATACCACTACCTAAGCCTCTAGTATGGGTATTTACCTTTTACAACTAGAAGTTCATCTTAAATCTGGGAGAAACCAATATGAAAATGAAATTAACACAGAACAATCTATGTTAACTATTTCTAATTTAAACTATTGCCTGAAAAAAGAGAAGAATTTCTGAGCTAGTAACCAAATTTCCTTCACATTCTGAAAGTYTTAAGTTTTCGTGGTGTTTTCTGATTACTTAAAGGCATTCAGTTTACCAGACTTTACTTTTTTCCCAGTTCCTATAATCCCAGGCAATCTGAATCATGGTCTTTCTTAGGTTTTGTTGATTTTACTTCTTTTTTTCCATTATATGCACAGGAAAATCTCCATTAAATTTTAATTTACAGCCCATTGTGGATAGCATTTGTAACAGAGCTTCTACTTTATGCTGAAGAACTGGGAATTAATTTTTCCAGAGCAGATTAAATTTCACTCATTTCTTGTCTGAAAGCCTTGTCCTACTACAAAATATTCCAGGCCGCCTGTTCTGCAGCAATCCTGTGCTCATGGCAGTGGTAGATGGTAACAAGAACCTCAAGGGTTAGCACTTGCTTCAGACTTTTGGCGTTACTCTCCATGCTCTGATACTGTCAACAGTTGTGCAATTTGGCACTTAGAAGAGAATCACTTCACATAGTCACAACCTTGTGTGGATCAGTTAGCACAATCAAGCCAGTCTGCCAAATTAGATTTTAATTTCTGTTCACTGTGAGAACATCCTGAATGGTTGATTTTATGAAAAGTGCTATTTCATCAAATCCACATGAAAGGCAATGGAGAACTTTGCTTTGTCCGTGCATATCCCATATCTTGAGCATGACACAGCAGCATCTATCTCACTATGTATTTTAAATTCTGATTAGCCACTGGAGTGTGTGTATAGGAATGGTGACAGAAAAACCTCCTGGTTTTCAGGAATATTTTAGCTTCTGTTTCAACTGGGACATAATGCACTCTTTAAAGTAGTAATGCACTTTTCAGTCAGCTTCTGAACAAAGCACTGTCTTTTTTTCTCWAAAGACCTCATAGTGGTTGAATTTAGCTAGAACAATGAAGCAACTGTAAGAATGTTAAAAGGACTTCATTGGTGTTGAATGGGAGATGAACTTCATGCACTTTTACAAGTTTGAATAATTGTGGGCCTTACACCTCCCTTTCACATAAAATGATTATACTGAAAGTAATTTTGTTCTTTTCATCAGAAACCAGATAATCTGTAAGTGTGTAACATCTTATAAACAGACTTAATACGATTTTATTTACTGCTGTTCTGGTGTACTGAAAACATCATAACCTGTTTGAAATTCTGAACTATTATGCCTTTATCTCTTGTTCCAGTAAGGAAAAAAATGAGAACAAACACTCATGTTATAATTTTACATCAATACAAATCAATCTTTTWACACTATCTCAAAATTGACATGTTTCTATTAAAAAGTGAAACTCTGGTTTAAATTTTTTTTAATAATAGGACTGTTAAGGCTTTGAGTTTTTTTACCTAAGGAAACAATAATTAAAAAAAAAACAAAACTGTACGCTTGACATTACTATAGGTTTTGCTTTTTTGGTTTGCTTGTTTTCTTTAAAATGCAAATAGAYATCTCACTCCAGAACCAGCGCAGTTTCTAGAGAAACCTTCCTCCTGGCTGAATGAAATCTGAAGTGCAAATATTTGCATCTAATTTCTTCTACCTGTCCTTGGCATAAGTATCCTTCAGCACTGCTTGTTTACTCTATGTCCAAAGCAATTGCCACTTCAGGATTTTCAAGGACAAAGACTGATGGAGCAATTTTATTGTGACTAAGAAAAAGATTACTTGCTTATAAACACCATAGGTAGTCACTCCTCCTGTCCCTGTTAGGCTTTGCATCCTGGTGGTAAGCATTCTCACCATAGTAGAGCCTCTGACAAGTGTTGCTCTGGGCTTGGATAACTGCTGTCCTTTTGTGAGCAGGTCACCAACCTGACTGATACAGAGCAATTTAAAGTAAGACATTTTGTTCCAGTATGAAGTTCCATCACTTGTCATGTATGGTGGCATATTAGACAATCCTAATAATCCCTGCTGCTCTTAAACCCTAAGAATTTTTGTGGGTCCTACTTCTGCTCTAAACAGGARTTAAGAACATGAAGAAATTGTTCAATATTTTGTAGCATCAGACTCTGACAAGTTAGTAGTTTTGAAGACATAGTATGAGACTAAAAACTGTCAAATTGTTGAAAATTCTAGTAATAGGCAGTGGATAAACCAATTTTCTTAATAATGAAGCTATATACACAGTACTGCTTCCTCCTCCATACATCCCCAGAAATTCGTTCATAGTGACTGTCACCAAAGCAGTTACAATCTTTCCACAGGCCAAGAGAACGTTATTATCTGAAGGCTGATCCCTTAGTTTCACTTAGGAGAAAGGAGAGAATCAGTCAGTTCAGTATAGCTCATTTCTGGTTTTGATTTGCTCATGAAAATAATGAGCACAATAGACYCCAATCTCTGCAACCAGAGTTTATCCAGAAAATCCATCCTATCAGAACTAAATTATTTTTACAGATAACCCAAGTTGTTTTGGTTTTTCTCTCTGTAAAATGCTCTCCAASTTGTTACAGTATGTCAAAATGTCCACTTGGTAACACTTACATGGTATCACTGGCATGTCCAACTTCAGGATTTACTTCAGTTCATCTGACACCACTCTTGACTAAAGCATCAGGAAATGGATGCTGCTGGTGGCAGAATAATAAGCCTGATGAACCAAYACCTTAATCAAGTATGCCAAATACCATCTTGCTATGAGCAACCTGTTCCAGAGTTCACAATACTTTGGTACASTATGCTGCAAACATCATTTCTGCCCAGAAACCAACAAACTCCTGCATGAGTTACAGCATTCGAGCAGCTGATGAGAGAAATCAGCATTCATATCCTTTAGAGCACACCACATTTCCCTTGAACTATTCCTTTATCCTTCTAGAAGAAAGCAGTTAAGTCCCGTTTACTAACCCAGTAATTAATACTTTTGATTATTTACATCGTTACTCAAAGCACATACATACTTTGCTTCACCTTCCGTTCTAAAAATGGATCAATGCCTTTCTAAGATCGGATTGTATGCACATTTGTTCATTGCTGTTTTCCCTGCATATTTCTCTTGAAATTTCAGGCACTCTCAACACAGGTTATCATACAGTCCTCTCAGCATCCTGATGCATTGCAACAATCCATTTAACACAGCTAATGAAGCAAAATTCTAAATAAAAAGAACAAAAGAAAAAAAAAGGCGTTGACGGTTGCTGTACGCTCACGAAAAAAAAAAAAAAGGAATAAAAAAGGGTGCGCTTATCAATTGACTCTCAGCAGCTGCCAGCACGCAGAGACACGCTCCGCCACATGTAAGCCAAAAGCTGTCATATTTATTCATTCCTGACGCGGTSCCGGCGCTCGGAGCCGGGTCCTCCACCGTCGCCGGGGCCCGAGGCGGGGGCCGGGCCGCCCCGCGTCCTCCCCGCACTTACCGCGCCGGGCGGAGCTCGGGGCCGCCGGGCGGGCGGCGGGCGCTGTCGGCCCTGCCCTCGCACCCGCCGGCCCGGGCCGGGCTCGCTGTCACGGCGGCGGGGCCCGCTCCGCGCTGCCCAGGTGTAGCGGCCCGGGGTGCCCCGCTAGGCGGGCGGGCGCTGCGCGGCGGCGGCAGCAGCCGCTGGTTGGGCGCTCGGCGCCTGTCGCTGGGCGGCGTGAGAGCGGGCTGGCCCCGCCTCGGCCCGCGCCTCCGCCCGCCCAGGCACAGACATGACACAGACACACAAGCGCTGCAGCCGCCGCTGAGCCAGCCCGGGGCAGCGCGGCGGCGAGCGCTCGGCTCCCGGCACCCGCCGAGCGGCAGCGGCGGCCGCTCTGGGCTCCGCCTTGGCCCGCCGGGCGGGCAGCCGCGGCCCCGACACCCGCAGGGGGCAGCCTGGCACCGGGCGCCGGAGGGACCCGGCGTGGGAAGGCTGACAGCGGGGAAGGGGCGGGAGGCAAGGAAGGAAGGAAGGGGAAGGGGACAGCCTGGCACTCAGACTCGGAGGCGGTCGCCAGGCACGGGCGCGGAGCGAGCCCGGTCGGAGCGCGGCACCCAGCGGTCGCTGATGCCGGGCCGGCAGCAGTAGCAGCGACCGCGGCGGTGCCGGAGGGAGCCTCTCTGTGCTCGGCTCCGCGGAGCCGGTGACCTTCCCGGAGCTGATCGCCAGGCCGGGGCAGGGCCTCCTCTCCCCGCGGAGTGTGCACCAGGCCCCGGGGAGAGGGCAGGAGGCTGGGCCGGAATCCCCCGCCGCCCCCGGCTCCTCCTGGCCGCCGGCGGGGCCTGTGCGCCGCGCGGTTCGCCGCCGGGGAGAGGGGCGGGGGAGGGCGAGCGGGACGCACGGACGGGGCCGGGCTGCACCTCGGGACAGAGCGGAGCGGGCAGGCCCCGGAGCGAGCTGAGCTGAGCTGGGCGGCGGAGGAGGCGGCCACCTCGGCGGCGCATCCCGGCAAGAGTCGGGACCTCCCCACCGCCCTCCTCCACCGTCAGCGGCTCCTCGTCCCGCGGAGAGTGGAGCTGCCGGTGCCGCCCCAGCTGGGACCCGCTGGCTAACGCCTGCGGAACGCCAGGCTGCGGRGACGGAGCTGGAGCTGCGCGCCTGGAGCGGAGGAGGTGGAAGGACCGCTTGCCTGCGTGGAGCGGCGGGCGCTGAGCGCCCGTCCCGGCSACCCGGGAGCCACCCGGGGAAGGTAAGTGCCTTCTCGTCCAGTCTCTGCTGCTTTTGGAGGCGAGAGGCGGGGGAGGGCAAGAAACAATCGGCGAGTGTCTCCCTTCCAGCAGCCCGGGGAGGGGAGGGGGCACCCGAGTCCAGAGGGCCGGGCTGGCAGCTTTATCTGCTGGATTTTAATCCCCATCAGATCCGGAATTGAAGAGATGCTCAGGCGGAGGCGCGCGTGTCGCTTCCCGGCACAAAGGGGCACGTCACCCCGGCGGAGGGAGGTTACCCCGCTCCGCTCCTCTCGCTGGCTCGGCGCCGCTCGCCCTCTGCTCCGGCCCGGCTGCGCTCCCGCTGCGYGCCGGCTCCAGCCCCGGTCCGGCGGGGTCCCGCCGAGCGCCGCTGCTCCGCACCGGAGAGGCGGCCGGGAGAGCCGGGGCGGCTGCGAGGGAGGGAAGGAACGAGGGAGGGAGGGAGTCGCGCCGCGGGGCGTGAGCGCTCGGCCCCCGCACCGGGACCCGGCGGCAGAGCCGGAGTTCGGCTGGGACGCTAAACCGAGCAGGGTGGCTTCCCCATCACCCGCCAGCTTCCCCTGCAAGCCTCCAGCCCGGGAAGCGCTCCTTTGGGAAGGCTTCTGCTATTACCTCCTATCCGAGAACTGTGTCATTTAGATCATTAATCTCTGCGCACCGGGGGATGGGGGGGAAAATAGCAACTTGCGGCCCTGTGGAGGTGACGTGAAGTTTGACGATGCCTTATGTAACACTTTTTGGAGAGATTCCTGKTTTTTCTGCTGTGCCCAGTTTTAGTAAACAAGTGGTTTTTCTTCTTTGTAGAGCATCAGACAAGCGATTTGTGTGTTTTCACCTGAGTACGGTGTCTTCCGCTTTGTCCAACTTGGAACAGGGGTACTGATAGACAGCAAATAAAGCCTACTTTTTCCCAACATGCATTTTTAAATGAAAAGTAGCCAGCGGAGACATCTGAGCAGTTGTTAGAGGGTCTTACTTTATTCTGTATGTATTTTATACAGCATTTTAAAAATTACTACGGGAAAYATTTTTCACAGCCCTGATTGTTATGTATGTGTTCTGGAAGGTATGGATACCAGGATGGAAATGGCAATAAATCAAATGTCTTTTAAACCTTGTTAGCTTCTGTTTAGACAGTATCTTTGCTGGAAATGCCAGAAAGAACAGAAAGCACCAGGCTGAACAAAGTGCTGTGTTAAAACCGCACCTGGCAATTGCCAACAGGTCAGCATATTTTATTTAATGATATCTGCTGGATACAGATTAATATTCTRTGTACAGATTTTTTTAACTTGTTCATAAATAGAAGCAGCATGAAATTTGATAAATGGGTTGAAAGGCTGCCTAGTTTCCATAAGGGATTATGTCTTCTACTGGGGGAAAAATCACAAAAAAGCTAGCTTCATGCACAGAAAGAGAGAGCAGTGATTTGCCATGTCCCTTCAGACTCCAACTGCAAAGATACACTAGGGGGACTGGTTTGGGTGGGCTTCTTCCCATCAATCAGTGGTGAAAATGCACAGACTGTTGTAACAGGTCCTGTAAAATGTTTTTTTTCCTAACCATGTGGAGCTCCATCATTATACTGTAAGCTTAGAGGAGAAATTATATGTAGAAATTCAGGTGTTGAGTTAAGGACAAGGGGATCTTCTAACAAAGTCATTCTGCTCCCTGCTGCAAAGGAGATAGGTTATCAGAGGTTAAGTTTACTTACAAGAAGAGGACAAGCTAACAAAAAACCTTACCCCAAATGTCTTCACTGTATTTCAGTTTTTTTAAAATGGAGAAATGTGAAACAGGTATCCCTGTACTTCTTGGAAACTTGAAATTGCTGGTGGGTATTCCAAGTTWGAAATGTGAGATTCTTACTGCTTAGGTGTCCTGTGATGGCCCTTGATCAGAAAGGCTGCAAGTCATGTAAGAGCCGCAGTAACTGCAGAGTCTCTGGTGGATAATTGGATTCGTAGGTTGGTTTTGATAGGGTTTTGTTTTGTTTTTTTTTTGTCTTTTAATTGSCTGCTGCAGTAGCTGGTGTCTTTTCTCCATCCTGTTGGTGTTTAATTCTCATGATTTTTGGGTTATGTCATGTGTGGTATCTTGTTCAAAGTGTATGCGCCCATCCCCGTTGGTAGGGGAAGCATAGCTTGGAGCTACTTAAATGGGAGATTGGAGCAAGATGCTTTTYTATTTCATGTCTGTAATATACGTGACAACTCTTTATTGCTTAGGTGACGTAAGAAGATTGCATGGTTTCTTAGGTCTGGCGAAATACACACTAATTTTCTTTAAAGAAGCATTGGAAATAGTATTACTTGGTCTTGAATTCTCTGTGCCAGCTATTCTATGTACAGAAACTCCAGAGCACAGTCYTCAGAAAGGCAAAGTGCAGAGCAGTGATGAATGACTGCATATCTGTTGGAAACACTCAAGATCTGTCAGAGGCTTGATCTGAAATTTCAGTGTGTAGGACTTTAATATTAGTAAAAGTAGTATTCCTTCTGAATTAATTATTTTATAAAATTTTATAATTAGGCATCTCCCAAGTGCACTWAACTCACTGAACTGAAGTGTTCTTAAAAACAATGGTTTTGAACTAATGAGACTACTTTTTGCTCAAATGTGTGGCTTTTGTTTTTACCTGGGATAAACAGTYGGTTGTTAATAGACCCTTACTGGAATACTCTCCTCTTTTATCCTTTGTCTGATTATTTTTTTAATGTGGCATTATAAGAGCAGTCTTCAAAAACAAACACAGACACAAAACCAACAAAAACCAAGTCCTTTTTTTTTTTTTTGCCTGATGTTTATAAAGGCTAATGATTGCTTAAATTTGTAATCTGACTACAAAGTCCTGGTGCTGTATGCTAAATTCTATCTACATGTAAACTCCTATTGATATTGATGGGAGTGTTTGTCTAGATGCAGAACAACAGTTTTTTAAAAATGTGTATTTATCCTTATTTCCTTGTATGAAAGCCTATCTTAATGAGCTCTTGTCAGCTTTGAAGACTTTCCATCATCTGCATTAGAACAGATTAACAAAATACCTATTTTAAAGATACGAGATTTTTGGTGTATCTTCTTTTCCTGTGATGTGTCTGTGCTGATAACATTAAGATTTGTGTGAGAAGAGAACATAATGGCCAGTGCCAGTTGGCAGTTGGTTTTTCTCTGTGASTTTGTCTCCATTCTCTTCAGAGTTGGCTCTATTGGTTATTTGCCTGATGCTGCAGCTAAAGAACTTTCTCAAGAGTGCTCTTGTGTAAGGAAACATAAACTCATGTCCTTTGCACTATTTTTGCTCTATTGTCTGGGTTTGGCTCATCTTCCTTTTTGTAGTCAATACTGACTTTAAAAAAGCAACCATTGTTCATTATTGCTGGCTTTAAAACCAGTCATTGTTCATTATCCCACACTTGGAATATTTAAAAGCTGGAGAGTCAGAATTACCTCAAGGAAGATACTTTAACTTCTTTTTCTTTTATATTCCTCCCCCCCCCATTTCATTGGATCACTAATTTTTATATTTCTTGTGATACATCCACCTGAAGATAAAGGTTAAGAAATGAGGGTTGTACCTTGTAGGGATTCATGACTCTTTTGGTGTCACTTGGCTTAGTATTTGAAGGTCTGTCTTGTCTTGTTGAAGCTTGTTCAATACATGGCTGTAGAAAGGAACCAGCAGATAAGAAATTCTATTTTATTTGGAAGTTGGTGGCTCAAAAATCAAGGAGAAAATTGCTAGAAAGGATTATCCTAGCCTTGGCACTGACTTTGAAGAAATCTGCCAAGGCTGGAATCCTTGYTTAAGTGCCATCTGTGTCAGAATTAGAAGCAAACTGTGTAAAATAGTTCCATTACTCATTGTAATTTGCAGATCAGACCAGGTCTGATAATGTTTACAGTAGTATCCACATCACCTTCTTTCTGGGATACAGCTACTATTTCCACAACAGTGGAGTTTACTGAGTAGAAGCTACACTTATAAATGTCAAAAAGAACCCCAGCAATGTCTGTCCAGTGCTGTAGCAAAAACTCAGATCTGATCACGTAACCCTGATGGTGGAGGAAGCTKGAAATCTCAGATGATGCAGGCACAATGCAGTCTTCCTCAGCAACCCCCTCACAAGATAGGTATGCTTGAAAATAATAAGAACAAATCGGTTGTTTTCAAGGCAAGGGTTCCCTGTTCTAATGCTTCTGGTCTCTTGACCAGCAAGTGCTAAAGATAGATGCCATCACCACTCCTCTCCTGTGCATTTTTGTGTATTTATGAGTTCACTTCTGTTACTCCAGGTCTGTACCAGTATTCTATCCTCAGGGAATAGTTGCACATGATGACCCAGACTTTGCATGCTGCCTGAGGGGCAGCTTGTCACAGATCACACTGAGGAACAATGGTAAAAAAACAAATGCTTTGTTGTTTTCTGAGGAATATATGAAAATCATAGAAATCATAACAATTTTTGATCTGCTATTGTTTGGCAAAACTGCAGGTAGCAGTTGTAGTGCCAGTGCTTCCTTAAATTAGAAGGACGACATCCATATCGGTTTAAATCTGCTTTCACATTCTGGCACTGAAAGTTACAAGGAAATTTGTGTTGGGAAAAAGAAAAAAAAAAAATATTAAGTAACCCCCTGCTTCCTTCACATGAAGTTTTCTGCTGCTGAAAATTTCCAGGGAAGTTGAGTAGTCACTTTGAGTTGCATCTCTCAATAGTTCTTCTAAAGTTTATCCCACAATGTAACACTAACATGCAGAGGGTCAGCATTTCACTTCTACCATTAGCTCTTAGATTKTGTCTCCTGGTAGGCATTTGACAGCTAAGACTTAGGACTAGGAGAAAACTAGACATTGATACTGAGAAATCTTCATTTAAATACAGAGAAGAATGAAGGTTTTTGTTTTAGTGGGACCCAAAAGAAGGAGGAGAGAGAGGGCAGAGAAATGAAGGGAAGGAATTGTAAAATCTTATTTATTTAAATATGAAACTCTTTGCTT